AAAAAAAAAAAAAAAAGGAAACTCTGGACTCTGAATCACATCTGGGCAGAGAGTTTCAGATAAGGGATGTGGCCCCGTGTTCCGCAGTTACATGGTCTTGCAAATCTAACACAGTTCCTGGAGGTGCCCAACTCAACTCAAAGGAGTGACGGGGTAGCAGAGACAAAAAGCCGCATTCTTTTCTCTGTGCAGTTCACTTGCTTCTCGTAATGTTTGGTGGTCTCATTCTACAAAGCGGTCACCCACCAACACTGAGTTAGCAAATGCTGAATCCTCGTTCCCAGGGGACATACAACAAGGTCAGGTGCCTGGGGACCAATGTTCACAACATTTTCATCCAATAATTGGTCTATAACCTTCCTTTATGTGTGTTTCTGTTAAAGAACACATAAATGTTTAATATATATTGTGCAGTTATGAACACTGAACTCAGCCAACACTGTCAGGCCTGAGTGAGGCTGATCTAAGGCACATGTATTTTCTATCTGGCACATCATAGCCTTCTTGCCCTGAGAACCACACACAGCGCTACAGCACTATGCTTGGGGGACGTTTTAAACAGTGAAATCATCATGAAAAAGCACAAAAATGTGAAAAAAGAACAATTGTTTACAAGAGAGCTGAAACAAGAAGGCAGAGCCTGGGGCGCCTGGCTGGCTCAGTTGGTAGAGCATGCGACTCCTGATCTCAGGGTCATGAGTTCAAGCCCCCCGTTGGGCATGGAGCCTACTTAAAAAAAAAGGCAGAGCTCGGCTTGTACATCCTCAGCTGGGAATGAGTGTGTTGGGTGACTTAAACTTCTCACCACTCCTTGTCTGCCTGCAAATGACGTGGGAGCATCGTGTTGATTTTGGGGGTTACAAATACATTTTAGTGGGTAGACGAATTCACAAGTAGTGAGGACTGACTCTTTCCGTCTCCTGCTTGCTCCTCACAACTCAGCCCCTGCCTACTGGGGAAGGGGCATGGGCGACAACGTACCTTGGAAACGGCAGTTGTCATGATGGCTGTGACAGGTGCATCTGTCATGTTCGTCCCTGGCTCACTGGGAGTATTCACTTCTTCACGCTTGGTTTTGTACTGCATGTTGGAGGGAAAAAGAAGACCAAACAAACAAACAAAGTAAGAGTTTTTCAAGCATCTGAGCCTAAACCACAGGAATATGTTACTTTGGCTAAATGAGTACCACGGAAGGCTTCTGCCTCTGTCGCCTCTCTTGGCTCCCGCGAGGCTTTGGAAGCAAAAAGCGAGACCGTGAAATCCAAACCCTGATTCCCACAGCCACCGTTCAATGATGTCAGAATGTTCTCTTTCATAATAAGGGACAAATTAGCAGAGCGATAACGGGAAAGAAAGTATAGGTTTTATCTGGAAGAGCTTTAACAGATGCTACAGGGATCCTGCCAATCATTTTGTTTCTATTTGTTTATTCATTTATTATTTTTAATCTGGGCAAAACACCTCATTGCTTTGATAAATGCAGTCACCACGACTTTAGTACATGTCAAGAACTATATGGTTGTTCCAAAATCAACAGCCCCTTTAGGGCCAGTCCATGAGTGAGATTTCTGTTGAATTTCCTTCCTTCAGCTCTGCTGGGTTCCTCTGAGCTTCAGCAGAGAGGTTGAAGAAAGGGCTCGTACACTATTACACCAGGCATCAACGTCACTTCTCCGAGGCTCTGCCAACCTGGAGAACCTTACAAATGACCACTGAGGCTGAACCTTGAAATACAGGTAGTTCTGTGCCTCCTGGAGGTCGGCAGGGAGCAAGCTCATGGCCATTTCTGTTGGTATACACAGAGGGCTCTGTTCGTGTAATTTATGTAAATGAATTCAGCAGTTTGGGATAGACTCCGCTGTCTTCAAGTGCACACATAAATAGAGAGAAGAGCAGCAAGGAAACGGCGTGAAGAGACCGTGAAGCTCTCCTAGAGAAAAAAATCAGGGCTTTGTTACATGGCCAGGGGGGCGGGGGGCATGCTGGCAATGGGCACGCGAGGATTAAGGAAAAGACCAAACGCCAGGAACACGAAGCCCCCATGTGGGTTAGATACTGCTCTCCCAACATGAGGGAGAAAGGAGAGAGGAGATGGGGTTGTTTTTGCAGGGTACTGCATCTGTACACAATCTAAGATTCTTTGCAAATACCACGGGGTTCTCCAAAAACCGGGAAAGGGAGCCTGGGTCAGTTCCAACAGGGACTTTCCGGGGCCCGAAAGACCAGAGGTATGAAGCAGAGAAGTCACCTACGATGGCTCCGTGTGCGTATTCATAGGTACATTTCCTGCCATTTGGGATGGGCTCATTCCAGTTCCTCAGTCATAGCAGGACATAAAAATCTGAATGGGTAAAGCGAAGAGGGGAGGAACCTGGAGGCAAAAGTCATTATGATTACCTGCTGAAAACAGGCTTGGACAAGATTCTCAGGGAACATATTCCTGTTGGAGACATGAAAAGCAGTGTCACATTAAGGCAAAAGTGTTTTGTTTTTGGTTTCTGTCATACCCAATACGTTGGTGAACATGAGTAGCACACAGAATCAGTCCTCTGGTTTCTCTTGTGGCTTCTCCTTTGCAAATATTTCCTTGGATTAAGATATTTTCCCCCCATGCTGAGCTTCAACCAAGTCTAGAAAGTGCTCTTAAACAACCATCACTTAGCTGATTCACTGAGTAACCGATAGGCTCGTTGTCCTTGGTGCCACACAGCGTGGGCAGGGGGACGCTCACAGTCAAGGGACGTCTTTAATCTTCTCTCCCCTTCTGTGTTCATCGATGAGAATGTATGCTCACCGAGAGTCACTGCAATTGTTCCCAAGGTCTTTATGCCAATTGCGAATATCAGCATAATTACTGAATTACAAATGATGTGAATCGATGGAACAGGACTATGAAATGGAAGGTGTGGTTTTTGTAAACGCTAAACTCAACGCCTGGAAACTCAACCAAAGCAAGTGACTAAAATTTCTGTGGTTCAATTAGGTTTGGGAGGGCCACTGAAATGGAAAGAAAAACTGGCACTCAGCTTTCTTTGCAGTTTCTGAGGGTTTTGTTGCTCTCCTTCATGGAAACTGAACCTGGAAACTGTACATGATGCCTTTGTAAGGGCAGTGGGTGCAAGAGAAATGATACCAAATTATAATCAACTGACACACTCGAAGGGAAGACCTTGGCCCTACGTCAGAAATCGGCAAATAAATGCCATTTAAAGTGTCAACAAAATATGTCATGCATATCTGTGTCATTTTTTTTTTACCATTCTCTGCTTTAACGGCTCCCTTAAAATTAACTGACCAATTTCCAGCCTTGATGGCTTCTGATAAAAGGGTTTCTCCTGTACAATTAAAAAGTGTCTTTCTTTAAGTGTGCTTCAGAACTGACCCCCCACCCAGTCCAGCATCTTAATGCAACAAGTATATACTTTCTGCATCTCTGTCCATCCTGAATCCGGACAGGAATCCGGACAGAAGAGCCTGTTCCTCCCATCCCCTCTTGGAACCACACTCTGGCAAGCAGGCCTGGCTATGTAATTTCGGGGCACAGGGCTCACTGAACACGCGCAATGATTCAAAAACTATCAGAAATTTCAAACCAGCGAGAGCAGAGCCTTGGAGCAAGCACGGGTCCCGTGTGATCGCAGCATCACGAGCCCACGATGCTGCCTGGCTGGCAAGACACTCACCTGATCAGATCTAACATGGCGTCCACCGTACTGACTTCTGGGTTGCTGCCTGTTCTGTCAATCTCATCCACTTTCTGGGACACACCAGGCTTGATGCTCACCACCAGCACGATGCCTATGGCCAAGGAGAGTACCACAGAGCATTAAGAACCTTCCGAAACACCCGAGTCCCCCCCGCCCACGCACCCCCCGCCGGCATCCTTCTTAGAACCAGTAGGCACGGTGGCACCAGCCAATACTGGAATGAGGACTCTCAGGTCCAGCCAAGATGTTGAGCCTCAGCTGGGACCTCAGCGGTGGCCTTAATGACTTTTCCATTTAAATGAAGCAGAAGGAACTTTTCCTTTTTTTTTTTAAATGAAGAGGTTGCATTCCGGAATTGCTTCTGGAAACACCTGCTGATGAGAATTATCTATTTTCTTTGCTTTAGCTTATGAGGTCAGCCTAGGCAGGGGTTGGGGTGAGGGTGATTCCTTTTCCAGCTCAGGGCACCCATTCAATGTCTTTATGTAACTTTTACCCACAGATGCTGGTTATTTTCCTGAGGCTCCTACAGAACAGGCCTTCTCTTCCTTCCATACCCCAAGCCTTAAAAAATCTGGAAAGCTGTTGTCTAATCCAAAAAAGGGTCAGGGTTAGGAAAAGTAGTATTCCCTGTGACTCTGAGGGGATGGAATGAGGACAAATAGGCATTACAGGGAGAGATAGTTCTTGCCGAAAGGAACTGTCTAAACAGGGAGTATCAGATCTGAGAGCGCCATTTTGGCCCCTGGAGGTAATGGGTTCCTGTCCTTTGAGGTGTCCAAGCAGAGGTGGGAGGCTGGAGAACAGATCAAGGCATCAGAGACTGCCTGACTGGGGGTGGGGGGGATGCCAATCCACAGGGGCAGGACGTCAGGATGCTGAGCAGGTCAGTTTTGCCAAGTGAGAAGAGTCAGTGGGCCATGCAAGGACCATGGTGGGTGTGGTTCCCTCTTCCCTCTCAGGGTTGCTGGAGAGAGACATACACCGGCTTTTCCCTTCATGTCTCCCTCCCTCAGGAACCTCATGAGGAGAGGTGGCTTTGGTTTAAGGCAGGGTTCAGGCCCTCCTAGGTGCCCTGCCTTACACCACTCCAACCTCACCACATCCTAACAATCCATTAAAACAGCAGCGGGGTCACGCTGGCTGCAACATCTGACTACATCGCAGCCTCTCTTCCCACTCGGGGCACCCTTCTTGAAACATTAGGTCACAGAGGACGGACTGCATTTTCTTCACAAAAGAATGCCAAAGGTACAAGATCAGCGATAGTCCCGTATTAGAACCTTCTCCGTTTTTCAAGCGGAATTTATACTTGGCAAGACACTGCGAGCTCTCAGTACCATGTGAAATCTGAAATGCACCCAAATGCCATCATTTTGGAAATATTTCACAATTACACTCAACTCCACTATTATAGACTAATTACTCAGTTTACAGATTATATAAGCTCTTGGCTTCACCTCCTTCTACCCAGTGAACCTGGTAAAGCACAGAACTCTCACCCTCTTTCTGTTTCTTACTAGGGACATGAATACATGACTGACTGAACTTCAGTCAGTATTGTATTTTCTTCTTGGAAAAGGTGCTGGGTAGACTTTAAGCCCAAAGGCTTCACGGTGGTTTGACAAAACTACTTTTTGAATTAAAAAAAAAAAGTGCCTTAAAAAAAGCCCAGCTACTTTTAAAGGAAAAGTCACCACTATACAGAGGAATAAGGAATCAGAAATAGAATTTACCTAGAATTACAGCGATGGCAGTAGTACAGAAATAATATATGACGGCACGCAGACCAATTTTCCCGGATACACTGGAATCCAGCGCAGCTACACCTGCAGTGGGGGTGGGGTGGGGGGAGGGGAGAAGTCAAGTTAC